GGGAGGGAGGGAAGGAGAGAGAGAGAGAGAGAGAGAGAGAGAGAGAGAGAGAGAGAGAGAAACATTGATCTGAGAAACATCAATTGGTTACCTCCCGTACATGACCCAACTGGGTTATCAAACCCAAACCTAGATATGTCCACTAATTGGGGGTCCAACCCACAACCTCCTGGTACAGGGGATGATGTTCCAACCAACTTAGCCGGACCAGGGCTGCTCAGTTCATTTTTAATCTCCTGCTCCTAGCACCGCGCACAGCCAAGGCAAATGCTCAAATGTGTTTATGAATGTTTCAAAAGCTTTGCCTCCCCACAAATAGAGTTTATTGTGGAAGGTGAATTCCTATGTTGCTGGTGCCCATGAGAAAACATGCAAACAGCTAACACTCTTTCCAGCTTCTGAGCAATAAATGCATATGATCAATATTTCTTCTTGTTATTACCGGTGACTGTACATTCTTCCTCTTTTTTAAAAATATATTTTTATTGGTTTCAGAGAGGAAGGGAGAGGGAGAGAGAGACATAGAAAAATCAATGATGATAGAGAAGCATCGATTGGCTACCTCCTGCACAAACCCTCTACGGGGGATCGAGCCTGCACCCCGGGCACATGCCCTTGACTGGAATCGAACCTGGGACCCTTCGGTCTGCAGGCCGATTCTCTATCCACTGAGCCAAACCAGCCAGGGCCCATTCTTCCTCTTCATGCCCAGCTTCCTCCCCAGGCCCCTTCTTCTCCTTAACTGGCCTAACCTTCCCCCAAAACTACCCTCTCTGTACGTCACCCTGAGATTTTAATTCCTAGTGGTGGCCTGACGAGCTTGGTAGATGCCCTAAGACATGTAGCAATTCGTTGGGGAAATTCCTCTTTGGGGGACATTTCAGTGGTAAATGCTAAGTGGAATCTTAGCATTTTGCTGGCACAAGTTCAAAAGAATAAGGCAACCAGAGGGGTGAGAGGAAAGGCACAGAGATGAGCCCAGCCCACTCCCACCCTTTCTCCTGACTTTCCTTCCCAAGAGGAACCCAGCCTTTCCAAAGCCCGTTGGACTTAGGTGCCCTGCTGTCCTAAGCCTGGGGACCTCTGGCTGGTGAGTTGGGAACCTTGGCAGAGCTGAGCCCAGGTGTGCTCCAGGACCAGGGACAGCGCCAACCCTCTGGCCAGGAGCTCCCCAGCTGGATGGATGGTCCCCTGGAGGCTGAACCTTGCCCTGACTCATGTGGAGGTAAGGCCTGGGAGTGAGGCTGGTGACATTCTGTCAAACTCCTCCTCAGTCTCCCCTTGGAACCTCTCTCATCCTAGGGAAGAGGAAACGGCTTCAGAGACACAATGCATTTCTGAGAGGTCGCTGGGCCCCTTGCCCCTCAGGGCTGACTCTACTCTCACCCCCTCCAGAAAACCTGTCAGACTCCTGCCCTTCCCTTACTTCCTCCCCATTATTTAGCTTTTAAACCCTTCCTTGTGCTGTCACGGAGCTCTGGACAACAGAAAACATGATCAGTGATCCTTTTCAGAGCCTGGCTCTGTGCCAAGTCCACTTCTTCAGCTCAAATGAAGTATCAGAAGTTGGGTTGCGATATTGTATTTGGAGCTGTTAGATCACACAAATAAATTCTAAGCTTTAATTTGTCCTATATAAAGGTTAAATATTCAGATTGGGGAAAGGATCCTGTGGCCTTAGTGGACCACAGCATGGAGACAGTTGTCTTTAAGAGCAGAGCAAGCCAGGCCAAGAAGAAGAAAGAAAAACAACTAGGAAAGCTGGATTAAATTTTTTTTTAATGTTTGGAGTCAACAAAAAGAAAATTTGCCAGTGAAGAGGGAAGAAGCAGGAAGCCAACAGTAATGAGACAAGTATATGGAGCCACTTTTTTATTCAAATAGACTGCTGACTCTGAGCAGTCACGGAGAAGCTAAGTAGAACATTCAAGAATCTCATGGGGCCCTAGCCGGTTTGGCTCAGCTGATAGATCATTGTATTGCAGACTGAAGGGTCCTGGGTTTGATACGCATCAAGGGCATATGCCCGGTTGCAGTCTCAGTCCCCGGTAGGGGGCGTGCAGGAGGCAGCCAATCAATGATTCGCTCTCATCATCGATGTTTCTATCTCTCTCTCTCTCCCTCTCCCTTCCTCTCTGAAATCAATAAAAAAATATTTTTAAAAAAGAGGAAGAATGTACAGTCGCAATAGGGCCAGAAACTGGGTTGTGAATTCCCTCAGTGCCTGATGGGATCGCAGTGACCCACCTGCTACCGGCCACAGTAACGATGCCTGGAGCAGGAGAATCCTACCCAGGGTCTACACTGTAGTCTGTGTGATTTGTCACTGCGCTTCAGACGGGGTGTGATCCGGGAGACAGCCACCCAGAGAACGATGAGAAGACGGGATTTATTAGAAAACCCAGACCTTAGACCATGTGCCAGGAGCCAGGAAGTGCTGTTCTGGAGGGAGCAGGAGGGTGAGAGACAGCGTCACGGAGCAGCTCACCTGCAGCACAGGTGCAGGTGGACGTGAGAGCCGGCCCATCCCGTCTCTCAAACCCCATCGCCTGTCTTCTTCCTGCTCTGCCTGGGGATGCTCATCCAGCCGTTAATGTTAATCAGGCCGCAAGGTCTCCTCATGCTTCAGCAATGAGTCCTGGACTTCTCCCCACCCCCCTCCCCCAGGGGCTGTGATGCCTCTGGCCAGCACCGAGCTCTGAGCGAGTCCTCATTGGCCTGCGCGCTTGACCACTGAGTACTCGTGGGTGCTGGTGGCCGCCTGGTCCCGAGGCTCCCGTGGCTTCAGCCCCTCAAAGGTGAGGTTGGCGTAGTAGAGCTCCTGCTGCTCCCCCGACAGAGGGCCCTTCTCAGCAGGTGGCGCTTGGTCTGGGGGCCCGGCCCGTCTGGCTGAAGATTTTTCTTGGAGCCCTGAGTGACAGGGAGAGAAGGGCGTCCGAGAGGCATGAGGCAGACATGGTCCCAAAGAAAAGTGGGGCTGAGGGGACAGTTTTTTCATTCATCTTCTTACTGCACAGACACTTCTCATAGACTCAACTATTTGCTCATTCATTTTAAAAAATTTTGTTTGTTTGTTTGTTTGGGTTTTGTTCTTTTGGTGCAAAATGAAGGAGATTTATTCAGGTGCTGTGGCCTAGGAGAATGGTGGACTTTCATCTCGAAGACCATCCTCCTTCCTGCTCAAGCCTGCTGTTCTTTTCTTTTTAATTATTTTTTTGAGACTATTGCAGATGTTGGTTAGACATATCAAAGGCCTACTAATCATATTTCATTCCCTCAGAAACCCAGTGAGCATGATACTCTCATTATCCCCATTTACAGATAGAGAATCTGCGGTAAAGGGAGGTGAAGTAACACGCCCACAATGGGTAGGAAGTAATAGTTTGGGGAGCTGGTTCTGGTGGCCTGTGCCTATCAGAGTGGTGAGGTGGGCTCAGTGGTCAGTGTGGCTGGGGCAGGAGGCTGACCATGTGTTCCGGGAAATGAAAGGGAAGTCAACTTCCAACTGTCTGTCCATCTGACCACAGAGGAGCGGGTTTGGGGAACTACTGAGGAGCTCAGTGTGGACTCCTTAATGGACATGCCCAGCCTCCCCCCCCCCCACACACACGGCATGAGAAAACACCCCGTCACTCACCCAGGTGACTGTGCCCATGACAGGGTCTTCATCATTCGTGACATTTGGTCTCCCGGCTGCTTGCCTCCTGCGGGCTTTCACTCTAAGGGGAGAAGTCAGCAGCCAGAATGGTTCAGGCACAGGTGGGCAGCTGCCCCCACTCCCTGAGGCCAGACTCAGAGACCCTCCTGGCATGCAGGTGAGGACTCTGTCCCCCTGGATGCCCAGGGGTTTGGCCAAGACTGTTCATCACCAAGGCCCCTCTCACATGCAGAGACTTGTGCACAAGCCATCACCAGAGTAATTCATCGTAGCCAAAACATCCAAGCAACCCAATGTCCATCAACGAAGGAACGGACAAATAAAATGTGCCTCATCCAAACCGTGGAATATATTTGTAAATAAAAAGCAATGCAGAGCTGACACATGAACCTTGGAAATCTCAGGCTTCATGAAAGAAGTCAGTCATAAAAAAACATGTATTTTATAATTGCATTTATATGGAAGATCAGAATGGGCAAATCTGGAGAAACAAGAAATAGTGGTTGCCTGGGGCTGGGGGAGGATGGAGGCGGATGACAATGAATGGATGTGGAGTTTCTATTTTATTTTATTTTGTTAATCCTCACCTGAGTATATTTTTTCCATTGATTTTTTGAGAAAATAGAAGTGAGGGAGGGATGGGAGGGGGTGGAAAAGAGAAATAGAGAAACACTGATGTGAGAGAGACACACGAATTGGTTGCCTCCTGCACGTGCCCCGACCTGGGTCAGGGACCAAACCTGCAACCCAGGTTCTGCCCTTGATCAGAAATCAACCCGGGATCCTTCGGTCACAGTCAGACACTCTAACCACTGAGCAACGCCTGCCGGGGCTAGCGTTTCTGTATTTTCATTTTGGGCCAATGAAAAAACATTTTTAAATTGATGTGGTGTTAGGTGTACAGCTCTGTGACTGAACTAGGGTCACCGAACTGTGCACTTTAAATACATGGAAATGTTACCGTGAAAAAGCGGCTACTCCCTCTCCCCACAGAAATGTCCCCTCTGGATGTACTAAGCTCTGTTTTTGTGAAATTCAGCGACATCTCTGGGCGCTCCCTACCACACAGCTCCCTGCACCTCCCTGCCCCAGAGGCTCACCTGCAAAAGGAGAGGAGCAGCGGAGTTTTACCTCAATAAAGCTCTTACCCCTGCCGCCCCTGCCTCCCCGCTGGATGTACTAAGCTTTGTGTTGGTGAAATTCTGTGACCTCTTCCAAACCCCTAGGACCCGGCTCCCTGCCCCGGAGGCTCACATGCAAAAGAAGATGAGACACACGCACAGGGACAGCAGGGCCATGGCACCAGCACCTCCGAGAGCCGCAGGAACCACTCCCGCCTGGGGCACGGCCTTCCCTGCAGAGGAGCGGGGGGTGGGACACCCACTCGCGGGATTTGGTTTCTCCTCTTCCCCCTCCTCCCAGAACCCACTGTCGGTTCTGTTCAACCAGAGCCCAACTTAGCTCAGTGGATGAGCATCCACCTGTGAACCAGGAGATCCCCGTTCCATCCCTGGTCAAGGGCACATGGCCAGGTTGTGGGCTCGAACCCCAGTAGGGGGCGTACAGGAGGCAGCCGATCAATGTTTCTCTCTCATCATTGATGTTTCTCTGTCTCCCTCTCCCTTCCTCTCTGAAATCAATAAAAATATTTGGGGGGGGGGACAAGAGAAGGAGGGCCCTGTCCTAGCAATCACCCCTGCCCAAGCCACAGCCCCTCTCCCCGAGCCCCACCTTCTCTCTGACCCACTCCTTTCACCCAAAGACTCTGCACCCATAAGCCCCCTGACCTGGCAGCAGCAGGACAGAGACGCTCTGGGCCCCGTGCAGATTCCGGGCCTCGCAGCTGAGTCTGAGGTCAGGGCTGAGCCCCTCGCGGAGGCTCAGGGAGCTGTTGGTCCAGGGCCCCC